TTAAATTTATTTTTTTTTTTTTTTTTTTTTTTGTATTTATAAATCTACCAATTTTAAAATTTTAAAATTTTAAAATTTTAAAAGTTTTGAAATGAAATTATCTTCTTTTTTTTTTCATATTATTTTCCAATATCTTTATAAAAGCTGGATTTTTAATGCCCTTAAAATTTAAATGACTATGCTTAAATTTATTAGTTCGTCTCATCCGCGTTTCAATCATGCCCTGAAAATGGGCGCCTTTTGAGAGTCCTTATTTTGCTTGTCTCAACATGAGGGTCACAACCTACCCTTCTCTTTTCATAGTATGACATTCTCTCCAACTTAAATTGGTCATCACTTTGACAACTGTCCCAAGAAACAATTAAATTAGATTAGATGATTTATTATTATTATTATTATTATTTCTGATAACATTTGTGGTTGAAATTTGGCTTATTCAGTTCTTCACCATTTCATACGCCTCCAAAGTTGATACAACAGCAAGTTTTGTAAAAAAAAAAATCATCCTTTTGGCTGATTCAATAAAAGCAGCATGCTATGCTTCTCAAATTTACCATGGCTAACTTTTGTAACAATACTAATGGTTCTTGAAAGCTTGCTCACTATGGAAATATCGAAGAAATTTTGAGGGAAATTGACCTTAGGAAGGACTTGAGCGAGCCCTTGAGCACACCCAAATAAATAAATAGCTATATTGACATTTTCTCAAGATATACTTATAGGGATCACTTGGAATTGACCTATAACATTAAGAACCAAAATTAAAAGACCTAAAATTGATGTTTTACACGAGAACTACCTAATAAGACCGAGAACAGCTTAGTAATTTAAATAATTGACCCACTTAATGACATTCATTGTGCGACCTAATATCATGAAATAAATGATGGACTTCGCTCTCCTTAAACTTGTCTAAAGGCGAGGGATCATACAAGTGTATACATCAAGGCCGATAGAACTTTATGAACCTAGAACCCATAACCTAAAACTAAAGTTCATTTAACAGAAACCATGTTATACTTTTGGTCAGGTTTAGACTATAATACCCTAGCATCAATCATGGACACAATCAAGAGCCTACAAGTAGGTTACTTACTCGGTTATACTCAATTTAGTTTTATATGTTTTTTCAAGTAACGACTAGACATGAATCTAGAGTATGTGCTCAGAAAGCCAAACCTAGGTTCAAAAGCATCCACTAGTTTTATTTCATTTTGTCCTAATTTTATTTTGTATTTTGTTCCCCTTTAAATGTATTTACTTAAACTCTATTGAAACATCTTCAGACTAGGTTGGATGAATTGTTTGTTATATGAATAACACGTACATTATAACTTATTTGCGTGTTATTACTTGTATGATGTGGTGTTCATGAACTTCCTGTAATGTTCTTCTAGTATGTCAATCCATATATAGTATGATATCACGTTCATGTTATGCTCTATAAGACACTTGATGAACTATGTATGATAAGAATTAATGATATGTCATGTACAAGTACGCATTTCTCAGAGGAAGGTTATGTCGTGAAAAATATGGAAGTATGATGTGCATTATACCTATGTATCATGATTTGAAAACTGTGGGACCATATACATATTGTATGTCACGAGCACAAGAAACTTTTCCAGGATGTTTTGTATAGACGCATACCCTTGATATGCTTTGCACTCCTTTTTTTCCATTTGGTTTTGTTAGTTGAATGTGCGCTAGCCCATAGTCAGACCTAAAGGGTACATATGAGAGTTTGTCTAATATGTTCATGTGCATGCATTAATCATGTGTAAAGAAGTACTATGCATTTAACCCTACTCATAAAAGAAAGTAGAGTCCAACGAATAGTCACAAAAAGTAGGTTCCACCATGAACCATGATTGCATATGATTGCATTTTCCAATCCCAAGAGTTGAGTCACTTACGGAGTATTTTTAAATACTTTAACCAGATTAGGTAAAGGCAAGAGAGGACAAGAGAAGACTATGCCTAAGAAGAGCTTTAGGATCCAGATTGCCCCAAGAAGAGCATTGGAAAGTGAAAAGTCCCAGTAACTGGAATATAGCTATGATGATCAGAGTGTGCCCTACAACGTCGTTGTGATCTTAAAAGGGGGTTAGGTCAGTGAGGATTCAATGAGTAAGCCTTGTGGGAGGGGCTCGATGCCTCCGATAGAATGCTTCAGACTATAGCCTTGAGAGAAAACTATGTTGATTGCGTCAAGACTTCTTGGGTTCTATAAGGACATACGCCTTGAGCCTTGAGATGTAGAGTGATGTAAGAAGTGAAGAAAAAATTCAACCGAAAGTCCTACGGCAATAGATGTCACAAGGACAGTCGAATGGAACATAGCAGCTACGTGACAAGGGCTATAGTGGCCTAAATCAGTGCCTATGTGGGACATGGCTCAAGAGGGGCTTTTACAAGTTGGATGCTCAGAAAAAAGAACTAGAAGCTTGATCGAGTGTTAGAAACCTTTGAATGAGTGGAATGAAACGAGTCGACCTTTGCGCTCCACGACGTCCCTATTATGGAGATGGAGCTTACCGCATGGAGTACCATGATAAAGGATTATACTTGAGGACAAGCATGACAATTGTAAGAGAAATCCATCAAGTAGTGTACCCAGCTCTAAGAATGTAACAACACCTTCTAATGGCCTCGAAAATCCCTTCATCTCTTGCGGTAGGGTCACGTTACTTACTCCTCGCTTCTAACAGTGAAGACTATCCCCCATAAACCAACACGAGTCCTTTGAGATTGTTTTTTCCTCCCTAATCGATGCGTTTTAAAAACCTTAAGAATACTAATACCGTGAAATAGATTTGAGGTGATTTTGATGTTAGGAGTAGGATATTTGCAAGCCATATCAAGATGTGTATCTATCCCAAAGCCTTGAGGTTCCATTCTTGAGGTTGTCTTGTCGACATGGTTAACACGCTCGTGCTCAGACGCTTTACTCCTACAGGTGTTGTATTCATGTATATATAAATCCATGTTTGGAGGTTGGAGTTCAAAAACATTGTTATCTAAATATCGTGTGGAATAAAAATTTATATTTAAAATTATGTGCACATCTTATGGTATATGATCAATACATCTAATCTCAAATCAAACGTTTGGTGTGATGTTGGCCAAGATGTCCAACCTATTGATGTTCAATGAAAAGAAGATTATGGTGAACTTATCTCAAGGAAGAAGACTGACTGGAGACCAACATGTGATACTTAAACAACAAAGCAAGCAACCAACAAGATTTGAGATCAAGCAAATTTCAAGGAGCATGATTAGAAGCTCATTGGAAATTCGAAGTTTGGCAACGAATCAATTGTACTGATCCAAGGCAAAGGATCCATCTCATTCCAGAGCAAGAACGATGACCAATGTCTACTCACCAAGATATATTATATCTCAAGTTTAAAAAGTAATATTATCAGGTTTAGTCAGATGACGGATGAAGGTAACAAAGTGGAGTTAGCGGGCATACAAATGGGCTACTTACTGAGTTTTTGTACGACCCCATGTTTTTTATGTTTTTCAAGTAACTAAGGAGCCAATCGAGGTTGAAAGCGAACTCTGGAGTAAGTGTCATACAAAACTACACCCGTGTTTTAATTATCTACCTCTCATAGATTATGTTGAAACTTTTTATTATTTTTTTTAAAGTTTAAAGAATTTAATGGTAATTTTGAAAGTGCATGAGTATTTTTAAACTTGTACTAATGATTCGGTGGATATCCTCATATCCTCACAATAAACGTAGTTTTTAAATAAATAAGAAAATGGTGGTAGAAAAATATAATAAAATAATATATATTTACATCATAATGTAAATATAATAACGGATTCTTTTGCTTCTCTTCCACTATGTATTAACCTTGACTCCTCTATTGCTTCGCAGCGACTTTATAACGACTTCAACAATAATGTAACAGATTTAATTCTCTCTAACTTCCTCTTTTTTTTTTTTTTTTTTTCAAATTTAAAATCTATTTTCTAAACTTCAATTTTTTCACTATAAATACAGGTTCCCGTCCCCAAGTTTCAGCAACCGAGTCTTCTGATTTTGAGAAAGCGAAAACTCAAGAACAATCCAAAGAACTTCTCACAATGTCTGCATCGACTTCCTCATCCGCACCTGCACCCGCACCTGCATCCGGTTCTTCAACCGCTTCGGATCATCCTCAGAGACATATGATCCGGAAGTTCATCCAGGCTTTGCGCGAACAAGTGAGATCTTCTTCAATGTTTCAATCTCTGTTCTGATTCGTATTTCTTTGGCCGTTCTTGAGTTCAAGTTTATGAGTTTCGGTGTTTCTTCCAGGGATTTCTTGACGATAACTTCAATAACCAGATGAATCTTCACGAGAATCGAAATTCCTTGGCTACATTCTGCGGTGACGCCGAACCTAAACTCGATAGAGTTGAAAAACTTCTGTAATTATTCGCCTCCTTAAACGCTTTGCATTTTATAGCTGCCTAACTCTGTTTTTCTCAAATCTTTTGAACTATTATTTTCTAGTGCAAGAGAGACTGTGGAATTTGATACTGTGAGTAACCTCATGGAATCGCTCAAGACCAAGGCCGCTGGGTAACGCGCTCCACTCAATTTTACTTTTAGTGTTTATGAGAATCGAATCGCCAGTAACAATTGGAAGTTTCAAAATCTCCTTTGCCCTAACGTAATTGTTGCTGTGGTAGAATCATGAATAAGAGTTCCTAGTGACTGTTTTCTTTCTCTAAAGGTCTTAATAATAATCATTGGTCTTTCTGTTACATTGAAAAGTGATTTTGGCGACACAATTTATTCGGAAGATTGTTATGAAAACAG